TGATACCCTAACTAATATGCCAGAGTTTCAAGCTGATATCTTCCCAATCAGTGCAATATTTAGATGGACAGAAACAGAAACCGAATCAGCAACTACCAGCCAAGTTGAAAAACAAACTGCTTTAGTAGTAATCCGTGTGGGAATCAGGGTCACTGAAATCCCGGATTTTAGCTATTATTTCAACCACCAAGCATTGGTGGGCATAAATTATCACAGAAATCAGAAGACCTGATTTCAACTGGATCAGTGCAGTCAAAAGCGGTGATGCGCGTCGGAATGAAAACCCTTGAATATGCTTCGTTTTGGCACTATTTAGTAGAATACATGACGAATACTAGGTTAACTAGAGGACTAGGGTGAGCCTGAACTGCTAGTCAGAGCCTCGACGTCCCTATTAGAGAAGTCAATGGAAATCCAGCTGACAATGAGAGATATTGTAGGAACTCCAAAACCTGTAGGAGCCCATGATTGTAACTCCAAGATTCTCCAAACCTTCGACAATTGATTAGTGGAGATCTCTTGCTCTAATACACCCGACGGCAATCCAGGGATTTATTATTTTTACTTTAATCTTCTATCTACTTTTGATGGAGCATCGAAATGAGAGGGCTTAAGGCGGGCGTCAACAATGACCGACGATAATATTCCTAACCTTCCTCGAGATTAAGATTAACCATGCGACAGCTGATCGATCCGTCAGAGAATTGACAATCGAGATGACTGAGCTCGGAACTACGGAACTTGAAAGGAACGCTGGTGGGATAAAGATACTCGCTTAACCTGAAGCTGACTGAGGCGAGTACCTGCCCAGTCGACAATTGAGCCAATCAGATAATCGGGATTAACCTCTCAACACGTCTAGATTCAGAAGGAAATAAGATCGATGCTGCGGATAGCTCCACTACTGCAGTGCTGGGACTGTATACATCCGCGACGGAAGAAGAGAGCACCAACTTTCATGTTCAAACTCTCGTCGAAGGGAAGACCTATCCTTTTGGGGAGAAATTGGCACTCAAAATTATAGAATATTATTCCACTTTGTTTTGTATACTAAAGTATAATGCACCGTATATAAGGGCTTCTAGTTGTAGGTAGTCAGTAGTTGATTTTACCCCGACGAAAGTCTAAGTAGAGTTTGCTCGGTGTAAGCCAGAATACCAGAGATCTGCCCAGTCTAATAGCTGTGAATAACTTGATTGAACTTGAATGCTTGTCAAATAAGATTGATTGATTTGTTTGCCTTGAGTTGAGTTTGATTGTTGTTGAGGTTCCGTCGGTTCACTAGAGTCGAAGGTCCCTGTTGTTATACAACGCCGTCGTTCTAGTTGTGAGCGTCGTCGGAGTATTTGTTAAGTCCTTGTGTGGCTTATTGATTGTCCAAGAGTCTTCCTGTGAGCGTAACCTTCGACAAGCCTCACCCCTTGCACTCTTCTTTTTCTTCTGGACCGTTCAGAGGAGATTATTAGTGCTTCGCCGATTCAGCCTATTTTCTCATATCCGACGTACCAGTCTCATTACTGGGCGCCCTCCCCTCTGGCCTTCTACAAGCCTCACCATCAACATGTGCCAGGAACAAAAACGAATTTAGCCAGCTGCATCTTTGCTTCGTATAGTTTCTAGAAATCTGAAGGCATGGATTGCGACATCAACCAGGTGCTGGCGCGAGCCGATCATTCAAAGGACGATAGATGATCATCCACACGATGTGGACTTGAAATCAACATCGGAGGTACCTGATCCTTAAATGATTGTCTAAGCACCCTACACATAACACCTGCTAGTCCGGACATACCTTTTCTTCGTATTTACACCTATTCCTTTGTGATTCATGTTCATTCCTTCTCCAACATATCAGCACAAAAGTCCGGGGGCCCCATTCAGAAGAAGGATGCAAAAGCAAAGTCCGGCGTTTCCGGGAGTCATAGAGAGTCCAGGGCTCTTCATATCTTCTTACGCCTGATGATCTTCATATTCGTCGTTCTCACGTTCTCAATTAGCCAAAAACGCCTAATACTGGATACATCTTAATACTTTGCTTGGAATAGTTGACGGGATTGCCGAGGGCGACATGAAAGTGCTATAGGTAGACTCAAGGACTCAACTCGTGGGCGAATCACATTTCTCTATGTACTGAGTTGATCTGAGTAAAATCAGGGTGAAGCCGTCAGCATAAGTGCCCTCGAGGGCGCTGTGAAAAGGTTGTGTTGTGATTTCTGGCATGCATCCCTTGAACCTACTTGCTCTCATTTTATCCTCGACAACTGTCAAAAGGTGATAGACAAGCTAATGTATCAGTTTTGGGCAGCTGGCACCTCCGTCATGATATCCAGATCCAAAGGATAGTCTTCTCAATCCATCACATTCAAAGGTCCTCACACCTGTCCGCCCAACATTGTGGGTACCAATTCTCAAACAGAACCACACTATTGTTAAATATAAAAGGATTTTGGATGAAGGAGGTCAACAGGGTGGGATAGTAAGACAATTTTTCCCATCCAGTAAATAAGTAGATCAATTTCAATAGGTGCTCGATATTAAAGACGGTCAGATTAGGTTCTGACACAATCCTGAACAACAATTCTGGAAAAGCCAGATTTTGACTACAGTCTTGGACTTGCCCTGTTCTCATGTTTCCCATATGTCAAAACAAATGTGAATGAATATATGCCTAGCGTGAAGAAAGGTGCATCACCGAGTTAAAGTAGTTTAGGATGAATGAGACAATTTGAGGATGCTGATAATCATAGCTGATGTTGAAGTGGGTACACCCAGCTGATAAAGCCTTTACCCAGGCCCATAAGAGTAGAACCAGTACCTTCCAGCGGTAAAGACTAAGATACTTCACTTGTACTGGTGAACAGGTTGTACACTTGATGATATGAGTACTCTTGGCAGTGAATGAATGTCCTTTTCAATCCAGGAGGATTTGGGGTATGGATCTATCAAAATTGAGGATGCCAGTAGAATGTGCATAGTTGAACAGCTGACCATGTATAACCTTTGTAGTAGTCCATTTTTCAACCCTGCTGATCACTGTTGTTTTGGTTTCCAGTTCTGTTTGTGTGAACGTATCACTGATTAGGAAGATTTCAATCAAAGTTTCAAACTGTGTGATTTGCCAGCTATCAGCACACCCTTGTCTAGATTTATTCTCAGAATTAGGTAACTTCAGTATACAAATATGCTCGTTATACTTTTTTCGTATTCCCGTTGTGTGTGTTAACTTGGATTGTTGCCATCCAGAGCTTCGGAGCAGACGCTTCTCGACCCGCCGGGGGCTCTATTCCCCTTTAATGCACTGTACCTTGCTGTGGGGTTCATACGTTGTTCTTTCGAACTCGTAATTTTTTACGATTTCACAAAAATATCTATCAAGAGAGGATACCTCTGTGAAGTGTACGGAATGGTCACGGCCACTAAACAATGCCATTGACAACACGCCTTGCCTCATGATTAGCGTCTTGCAGACGAAACTGCAGGGGAAACTGAATTTGACACTTTTATGTAGCATAGGACTAATAGAAAACCAACGAAGGGAGAACTAACCTTCAGGCCCTTTCTATTATACTTATTTTCACGTTGTACTCCAAATTTTGTCCACCTCTTCCGTGATAAATCTATCTTCTCCGGCGGTTCAAGGGCTTCACTCTAGTCTCCTCAACGGCGTCTTCATGTCTCACCGACAGTCGTTGAAACTTGAATATTTGAATCGGCCTTCCGGCGGGCCAGATTGATAAGGACTGCATTCGGGCGTTCTACTTTCTGCTGGCCCTCAAGGTGGCCTTCACCTTCTCAATGGTCGACTCTATTTCAACATCATCGGTGTTGCCGTTTGTCCGTCTTCATCCGACTACCACCAGACAACATAGACCTACAAGTACCCCTGATCAGTACTTACTGGCAAGTGAAAACCTTTTTCCGGGTGTCTTGACAAAAACTTTGAAAATAGCTGTAAGATCATATACGCACGACGAGAGGAATAACACGCTGTGGACAAAGGACACGTTCTCAGTCTCATGCACCTCTCAATAGATGGGCCATGGTGGCTGAAGCAGCTGGGAAAGAGCATTACATCGAGAATTTGAGAACCTCATGGGCCTCAGGGGATGTTTCGAACGATCATATGACGTTCCGTGTCGAGAAGATGCAAGAGTCCTAAGCCCGAAACGGGAATAAACTTGAAAGTGACGGGTGTAAAGCTCCCATAGTCAAGACCATCATGCTCATAAACGAACGAGAAATCTTCCAATTCATCGTGGCCTTAAACCGAGCTTTTGATTTTCCATGCCGAACTCCGTTGAAATATTCTCGAAACTCATTGGTTTGCCTGGCTTGATGAATAGTGTAAATTTTAACGCATACTAGCCGTTGTCAATAGTGCTATTGATCTTCCATTGTACCTTCCATCGAAATTCGTTCATACCGAAGTCTTCAACACAGCTTCAACAGCGGACCCAGAACTAGTAAATCAGCTTCTGGGGGCACGCCCGATGAGGTACAGGCTTACTTTTTCTGGATATATTGACGATTGAGCGGTACTAGTGGTAACCTGGGTCGTTGCCAGGTATTATAACTCGACCCGCCGGGGGTTCGATTCGAGCTTAATGCACTGAAGGGAATCAGAATTGATACACTCTTTTTCTTATTTTGCGGATCCTTTTCCCCGCTCCAAACAACGCGTCGCTGAAAGCCCAAAAAAGGTGTCCGAGGAACGGAATACCCACTAATCATTTCTTCAACACACCAGATTCTACGTGTGTATTGCCTATAAACTGTCGGTGGTGACCGGTGCGAAGGCAGCGCCCACCCGTGAGAGTCGGAGGTCGAAAACAGTTCGCGTAGATAAAACTGATTCGCATAGATAAAAAAAGTTCGCGTAGATTAAAAAAATTCGCTCAACTGAAAATCCCACGCGTTGTTGTATTCGATATAGAATAGATAGTTCAGGTTCAGAAGTTTCATCCAAAGCTATATTGGCACAAGGACCACTCTTCCCAATCGGTTCGATGGCGTAGTTGGTTATCGTATCTGTCTAACAATTTGAGTTGCACAGAAGGTCCCCAGTTCGAGCCTGGGTCGAATCATTCGCTGAATTCCGACCCAATTTTCTTTTTCTTTTTCTGCTTGGTAATACACCCTAAATTTAAAATTTGCCCAATCCGCATGCAGAGCATTATATATCAAACAGACGGCCCGTGGAAAAATTTCAAGCTCTAGTACTCTGGTTATAATGTGCTCTAAGTTGAATAGACAGACACACGGATGGAAAGTTATTGACATTCGAATCAATGCCAGTACGGTGTACATCCGTTGGGAATAACAGAGTAGCGCAACAAGGGAACATATTGAGTAAGCGCTGCGGAGTAACAACCTGGATGAAATGAAAAGGGAGTGTAGTGACTCGTACCATGAAAACGAATGATGACACAAGGGGACGCGAAGGGAGGTAAACAACGGAACGTAAAATCTCAGAAACAGAGGATGAACGCCACGACTGCTGGGTACTCAACGATCCACAAATCTAGGCGTTGCTCCATAGATCGTTTCCATTCGGGGAGGAATTGTATGAGAAAAATTGTGAATTAAGGGAAACGGCGCGAAGAGTCCAACGAAACGGAAAAGCTCGGCCAACCAATAAGTTTTATCCTCAACTTACCTCGAAAACATTACATTCATCGTTTCCAGCGTGGTTTGGGGAGCCGTCTAATCACAGCGAGTAAATCTAAGACATCGAACACCGAGCAAGCGATTTCCAGCGAGAATTGTTATTGTGGAAAATAAGGATGTTATAAGATGCAACGCGGTCGGTGGGGAAAAGTCTAATGTTGCATATTCGTGGTTTTGAATGCACTGAACGCGGAGGTTGAGATATTTGAGAGGGGCGACGGTGATCATTTGTTGCGTGGGATGCCGGTTTATCCGAGGTAGGGACGAACAAAAAGACCTAAGGGACTGAAAGCATCACTTGGAACACGTCAGTCGAAGAGTAGTGTATCGGACCAGCTGGGTGATACACTGAGCCCAATAACAGAAATATGAGCAACGGGTGAACAAGCCGTACCCACGTAGAATTGCCTATACTTTAAACAAAACGCCGTAAACGGAGAACTCCCCCCGTCTTCCCCCTTTGAGAAATGGCAACAAACGGAAAGGGAGAAAAAAAAATAAGGAAATGTCGTCTGTTGTGTTTGTTTTCCAGAGAAATCAGCTTTACGGTCACGCTAGACAGCGACTGAAGAGCAATGCGAATACAAAGACGTCGTGGTACACGATTAAAGGCGCGTGCTTAGTAATATTTAGATTCATGCCCTGATGTCATGTCTGACTGACGCTGTCCACCGGTTTACGATTGCTGAAACATACAGCAACCTGAATTTCCTGTTTCACCGACTTAATGTCAAAGATGGATCCGGAGCAGAGATCCATAATCTGAGGCGAGGAAGGTGGAGATGTGCAGTTGGTTCTTTCATTGTGAATTCAGAGGCTGTGAATATGAATATCAATCATTTTCGAGCGGTAGTTTAGCCTGGTTCTATACCCAGCCTTTCCCCCGCTCATATTATATCATTAAGTAACCTTCAATTGACAATCGTACTATGCCCAAGGTCCTGTACAAAGCGCAGCGTGGGGGTTACTATTATTAGACAGACTGCACATTCACTATTAGCCATTCGTTCGCCCCTGGAACCCGTGGGGCCTATCACCGCGCATCCCACATCTGAATCCGCCAGACTCTGAGGGTGATGTATCAGGATGTATAACCAAAAACAGAAAGTTTGTATGAGGGGCCTCATACACATGCCTGTGGTAGTCTGCTTGAAACTTCCAGCGCGTTCCTAGACCATAACAAGTGTGCGGATGGCCACAGTTAGATTTGATAGTTCTGGAAACTCAATGGGGGAATATGAGCGTCATATTCCTGAAATGATTAGAACACGGCGTAACTGGAACGGTGAATTGATCGGGTGTGTTAACAGTTGTAGTGTAGTTGGCCTATACGCCGTATACGTGGTTTCGTCATAGATTAAATATCGCTTACCGTCACTGGACTGGGTCTGCTCCCGCTTACGTGGTGCTCCTAGGGCTCGACAGGCCGACGGTCAATGAACACGTTTCACGCTAAGTTACGGCGATAAATTGATTCGTTCAAACGGCGCGCACTTCGGATAGTATAGTCATAACCTTTCTTTCACCTCGACCGGGTCAATTGAAGGATTTTATCTGTTTGTCCTTATTCCATTCCCTGCCGCTCAAGCAAGAACGGAGGAGGAATGCATTGAACCATGGAAAGAGTCATCGGGCTGCCGTCCCAAAAGGCATACTCATTGTACAGCGCCTCTTAGACACAGGTACTAGTACATCTCGAAAAGAAACTGTTACATTACTGCAAGATCCACATTCACACGTAACTACGGCCCAACTTTGTGCCTAAGTATTCCGACTTGAAAACCTTCTATGAAGGTGGAAAATCCTCATAGAATTAATCTGCACTGTGAAGTAGGATTAGCCCGTGCAGGATCGGGATTAGGTAAATAAACATCTTACGCAGACCGAGATAACGTCTTTACCACAGACTTCAGGCTTAGGATCCAGTTGGCAGTCATACCTGAAGAACAAAAATGGAGTGGACAATAACTCAAACCATGAGCTCATTGGAAATCATGTGAGGGGAAATACACATACGTGATATGACCGTTGTAATAAGCAGTGAAATGGACCGGAGGCGGGGAGCATTTGAACTTCTCTGAACTGCAAGGATTTTTATCCGTTGTGAGGCTGTCTACAGTCTTGCAGGTGGTGTCATAGACAGTCCCTGTTTATGAAAGAAAGGGAAGTCAACATTTCGTTGTAACGGAAGAAGGTTTCAAGGCTCAAAAACGTACACCGACTGGAATTTCCGGCTCCACCAAGTTTCTGTTGACTACCAACAGCTAGCATGAAGCTATCACAAACAGCCAAAACTTGGCTGACTGAGGCGAGCGCGATGACGAGGGAGGCAGTGGGTGCTTTCATTGCGAGTTTATGAGAGTGGGCTGTTGATGATGTCGAAGTGTGGTTCCCCCCCGCTTTTATAGGGACTTCTTACATTGATCCCGCTCATGTGTTATTTTGAAATCGAAATGCGCCTATTTCTGGTGTAAAGCAGAAAGTGGCGGTTACTATTATTAGTTACATATTTAGTTACATACTGTTTTAAAGACGCTAATCGCAATATTTCAATACTCTTTTACTCGCCAGAACTCCGTGGGGCCCGTCCCCGCACAACCCGTTTCTAACCTGAACTCCCAAAACGGGGGGGAGAGTAAGACTGTAAGGGTTTAAATACCTAATTTAAACCTTCTTCGAATTTGAAGCTCTACAAATGCCGGAACAGCACAGTAGCACTGAAACGATTCACTGCCGCCCTAACCCTCATTAATTCAACTATCATTTTAATTGTCTATTTTCTTACTAGATTCCGCCTCAGCTGAATCAGCTCTTTTTGATCTCCGAAGATTGGGTAAAGGGGATCCTCTAACTTGAAGCCGTATGCGCCCCCTCTTAACGAATGTCGTGTCCGTATGAGAAAAGACAGGCAAGGTTATATCAGCTATCTGACTAGTTCAGTACATCCTCACTATTATCTCCTATTTCAACCGCATTGAGTAGAGCAACCAGTGATTTATTTGATAGGAAGATAATAGATCTTATGGTTGCCCGGACCACAGTGCTTTGTAGCGCTGATCATGTATCAGATATATCATGGACCTACAACAGTTACGAAGTTGGAAAGCTGAATAGCTGGTAATCGAAGTGGACTATGCTCGATCTCACTCACTCGCAATATTTCTATGTACGAGATTGAGAACATCATATACAATGTGAAGTCTGTAACGAAGAAATAAATGTGCGATTAGCAAATGGAGAGAAGGGATGTTGTACTAACTACACTGTTTGAACACAAACAGCAGCCAGAAACTAACCAGCACCCACCAACCAGCCTCCAACTTCAATCCAACCTTGAAGATAAGTCTTCAGTACACCACCTTGAGATAACCTACAACCCCCCTGTAAGTCTAATTACACTATAGAATACAATAATAGTAGTCATTTTGCTCCCCTATACCCCCTTGAATTCTGTTATCACAATTGAGACCTCACTCCGAGTAAGCCTTAAAAATCTCACACAGCTGAGTGCATCGGTAAGAGTGATCAGCTCATAACAACCATCTGATACGGAGGCATTACAGGACCCCGGTTTTGTAGTGGTGTTGGTGCTCTGAGAGGTTGGCCAAGTGAAGTTAAGAGGCAAATACTGTAACAACTGTATAAATTGCAATAGATTGTTATCAACATATGTGTTTCAAAGAAAGAAGCTGGAGTAGCAAACCTGTTCAGACCTTCTTATATCTTTGTCTGTCCTTGCCTGACCTCTAGAAAGTATATTCTAGTGAGGGAATGCGTCATTTACGTTACTCTAAACCAGGATTAGGCCTTTAGGTAATTATTTATCAACAGAGCGCTAGAATGAAGCCTTAATGGGAGCTAAGACGCAAGCAGACCTCAAGAACACAGAGAATAGAGCACAAAGGTTGTTTCAACAGAGAAGTGACAAAATCAGAGATAAAGTGGAGAAAGAACTGAAAGGGCATCTTGCACTCAATCCTCCTGATTTCTTTATTGGTTTTGGCAATTCCCAGGCTTAGATTTTATATACTGTTGACTTCCGTGGAAGTTCATGTCTCACCTGGCCCTGACTCTTATCACCTAACTCACCTAACTCACCTAACTCCCAACTCTTCATTCTGATTGGCTCTTTTTCTTCATTCCAGCTTGTCCTTGTGCCCCAACAGTGTATCCTTGTTCCATCCTGGCTGATGGTCACATAATAATTGCCAATGGCATCCTGCACCCAGAGCACAACTGATCACTTCTTGACTTGTGGGTCCAACTTCAACATTCCATGGAATTTGATGGTAACTCCATTATCTTGCATGGAAGCCTCTAGCCTTGACTTTGAAGTACTGATGCCTTTGCCTGAGTCTGCTACAGACCCAAATCCTTACTAGTTCACTAATGAACAGTCCAATCTTAATTATTCTCA